CCACCCCCACCCCCACCCCCACCCCCCCCACACACACTCTCTCTCTCTTGGCATGAAACCGTCCCGTGCCAGTCCGAAAGAAGGGCACTGAACAGTTTGTGTAGCTGCCTTTCCTCAGAACAACACCAAGCCTGCGCCCTCCCAGGCCCGCCCCACCCCCCACCTGAAGGTCCTGTCCAGATGGTCTGGAAAGTAGGAATGCAGCAGGTCGGCGGCCCTCCTGAAGGCGGTGCGCAGCTTGGGCAGCGCCTCGGCGCCGCGCCGGCGCAGGCAGTCCAGGCGCGCCAGCACCACCTCCAGATAGTCCTCGTAGCTCTGCGGTACAATGAAGCAGTACAGGCGGGGCAGCATGCAGTACAGGTTGGCGGCATGGTAGCCTGCACGAACCAACAACGGCGACTGTGGCGGGCCTCCCTTGCCGTCGTGCCAAGCAGTGGACGCGGGTGCAATTGTGTGCAGCCCACCGCCCCACCTCCCCACCTGCAGGCCTGCAGCGAGCGCCCGATCGTACAGCGCCGCATGCTGCTCCTCAGGCGCCTCCGACTGCTCCAGCGCGCGCAGCGCGCGGCCCCACAGCTGGCCCACCCAGGGGCAGTTGCGCACGGCACGGGCATATGCCGCATTCACCACTGCACACAGCAGCGGCAGGCCGCAGCCGCAGCCATCAGCTGTCAGTCAAGCCAGAACAGAAGCTGGAGCTGGGGCTTTCTCCACAAGCGCACACTCCTGCCGGCCATGGATGGGAGTGCAGCGCACCCGAGCCAATCTTGAGGTGTGCCTCCAGGTATCGAGCATACTGAAGCCAGAGGTAGTGAGTGACGGGGAAGGCCGCCACGGCGCGCTCGTAGACAGCCTGCAGGGGCAGGGGGGGCAGGGCACTTGCACGCACAAATCGCCCACAGATGTGTGCCGGCGTTGCAGGCGGCAGGCAACAGCAGGGCGGCAAGTTGCTGGGGCTGGCTGGCCTCGCTGGGTCCCATGCACAAACAGCGCTGGCCAGGCGCAGCGCGGCATTTCTATTCTAAGGGCTTGCCTGCACCCTGCCCGGGTCTCCGGCCCGCTCCTCCACTTTAACATACGCCATGTAGGCAGCCAGCAGGTCGGCGCCAGCGGGCTTGCCAGCAGCCACCGACTCCTCGTAAGGCTGCCGCAGCTCGGCCGCCTGCTGCGCCTTGGCATACCCCTGTTGCACCGCCGCCGGCGCCTGCCAGGCCTCGTCGCCTGCAGGCGGCACACAGGGAGCCTGGCCAGTCAGCTGCCGACCACGCTCTCAGCAATATACGCATGCCGCCTCCTGCCTGCCTGCCTGCCCATCAGAGCACCTGCCCCAGGCCCACCTCGCGTGCTGCGCTCCCATGCCAGGTAAGCTGCCAGCGTGTCCGGCCCATCGGCCAGCGGCACCTGCAGCTGCCGCGTCCACAGGCCGCGCACGCGCTCCGCCTGCTCCTCGCTGGCCTGCTCCTCCAGCAGGCCCTGCTCGTACTCGCGGTACACAGCCCACAGCCGGCTGCCGTCTGCACGTGCCACAGCACACGGGCACCAAGTTGCCCCAAATGGACGGCACTGAGCAGAGCTGCAACGACCATGCCGCCACCCGCCAGGCCTCCACACCATACAACACCACCCCTCCTGTCCTGCGCCGCCACCTGCACCGGCTGCCCCCACCTACCTGTGACGTGCAGCCCGCCGGCGGTGAGGGCTCGCTCGCATAGGTCCCGCATCCTGGCCCGCCCAGCGGCGCCGCCCGCCTGCACCTCTGGGTCAAACTCGCGCACAAACCTGCGAGAGGGCAGAGCAGCACAGCACCCCCGGCTTGCAGCGGGAGGGGCACGGGCCGCGTAGCTTCCATACGCAGCCGGCACGCAGTCCGCATGAGCCTCAGTGCTCCACCCCGTGCCACTCACTCCAGGTACTGCACCCAGAGCGGTACGGACAGATAGTCCTGGACAGCCTCGTCCATCAGCGCCTCAATCCTGGGCACATCCTCCGCCTCCGACAGCCCTTCAATCTCATCCGACAGCCAGTCAAACCTGCGGGCGGCATGGTTGACCGTGGCAGCGTGAGCATGGCGAGTCAGGAACTGGGCGGGGAGGCCGAGCAGCGCCGAATCATTTGCTCCACATTGTTGCGATACAGGCGGCAGATGATGGGTGCCTGTGGCCCTGGCCGCACCGCTCACCACAGGGCTTCGGTGAGAGGGAAGGCGGCATGCATCGCCTGGCGCGCTTCGTGCAGCCGTGAGCCCATCTTGCAGCGCCGCAGTACCTCGATGTACTGCACACATGCGACAGGCGCGGCACGGCAGCCTTGAGAGGAAAGGTCTGGCACAGCGACCCAAATGGCTAACTCTGCTCTGCGAGGACGCGGCAGCACCGCTGGAGCAGCACCAGGGGTGCCCGCAGCCCACCTGCACATGGCTGTCGTAGAGGCTGGGGTTGTCCTGCAGCTGCTGCTCCAGCTTCATGAGCAGCTCGGTGTCCTCGGGGCTGATGGTCAGCTCCTCAAAGTCCGAGTCGCTGCCGCTGCTGCCGTCGCTGCCGCCGCTGCCCGCCTCGGCCATCTCCTCATCACCAGCGTCGGCACGCTCCGGGTCTCCTGCCATGGCTGTGATCGGGCTGCCTAGTGTGCCTGATGTCTTCTGGGCACCGCTGCGGGCCTGCCGAGAACAGCAGTGATGGCAACACGCGTGATGGCGTGCTTGACGCCCGGGCAATGGTGCAGCCTCGGGTGGAAGGTGCAAGATCGATGGGTTTGAGGCCCAGGACTTCTCTGTGTTCTGCCTGCTGTGACGTGGAGGTGGCCAGCTGAACTTCCGACCGCAGCCTGCTAGGACAACCATAGCCAGCCCCGCAGACTCTGGATCAACGCTTGGGCGGCTCGCCGAGCTGCCTGCTCGACTCCAACAGCTCCTGCTCTCTCAACAGCACGCCTTGCACCCTAAGGACGTCGGGATCGATGCTGACCGAGGAGCAGGTCGAGAAATTCAAGCAGGATGGTGCGTGGGGTCGGGTGCGCCTGGGCAACCTGCTGCCGCCACTCTACCGCACCTCCGTCACGATCACCACCACACTGCTGCTGCACTGCCGTAGGGTTCCTGGTGCTGGAGGACTTCGCCACCCCTGAGGAGGTGGCGGCGCTGAAGCAGCGGGGCGAGGAGCTGGTGAGGCGCCGCTTGCACGGCTCGCCGCCGACTGCCACATCGATTGCCGCCTAAGAGCGCTCCTCCCTGCCCTCCACAGGTGGAGGCCTTTGACCCAGCCACCATCTCCGTCTTCAGCACCCGCAACCAGACCGCCAAGACCGACACGTACTTCCTCGACTCCGCCTCCGCCGTTTCTTTCTTTTTCGAGGAGAAGGCGTTTGGGGAGGGCGGCCAGCTGGAGCAGCCCAAGAACCGGGCCATCAACAAGATTGGGCACGGTGCGAGCTGGCAGCACGGCAGGCCTGGGTTGCGCACTGCTGCACATGCCCCATGGCTTGGACCGGTCACAACAACAGCTGTGCCGCCCGCCTCCAGCTGCCCTGCCCGTCCGCCTCCCCATGCGTTCACCCTGCTGCTCCCTGCCGCTCTGCCACCCCCCGCAGCCATGCACGACCTGGACCCCGTGTTCCGGCTCTGGAGCCGCAGCAGCAAGATGGCGGGGCTCATGGCGGCGCTCGGCTTCCAGCGCCCGCTGCCTGTGCAGGTGGGGGGGCGAGGGGGGGACGCAGGTGCAGGCATGCATTCCTGGCAGCTGCTCCTCACCCTCACCCGCAGCATGAAGCATTGTGGTGTGCTGTATGAGCTTGGGAGGTGCGCATCCCTCCCTTTGCTGCACCAAACTCTGCCTTGCTTGCCCCGCCACCCTCCTGCAGTCGATGCTTATTTTCAAGCAGCCGTATGTGGGCGGCGAGGTGGTGCCCCACCAGGACAGCTCCTTCCTGGCCACTGACCCCTTCTCGTGCGTCGGCATTTGGCTGGCGCTGGAGGATGCGCGGCGGGACAACGGCTGCCTGTGGGCGCTGCCAGGTGCACACCTGGCGGCCTGGGGAGCTGTGCGTTGAACCGCGGGCAGCCGCCTGTCCTCCTTGTGCCTCCAGCACAGCCTGGCAGCCCACGCCGGCATGGCCCCCTTCCCTCCTTATCACGCAGGCTCCCACCTGGAGGGCGTGCACCGCCGCTTCCTGCGCGCCGCCGACGGATCGGTCAGGTTCGACGTCGACATGCCTTCCTTTGAGGGCCTGGCCGGGTTTGTGCCGGTGGAGGTCAAGGCCGGGTCCCTGGTGCTGCTGCACGGCGGCAATGTGCACCTGAGCAAGGAGAACACCAGCCCGCACTCGCGCCATGCCTACAGCATGCACTTTGTTGAGGGGGCACCCGGCTTCAGCTACCCGCCCGACAACTGGCTGCAGCGGCCCGCGGAGCTGCCCTTTGAGCCGCTGTTTGATGCCGCTGCAGGGGCGCCTGCAGCAGCAGCAGGCAGCGCAGGCCGCCCTGCAGGGACTGCAGCGTTTGCACAGCCACGCGGCCGCAGCAGCGCGAGGCGCCCCGCGGCGGTTGCGCCGCAGGCGGCGGTGCGTGTGTATTGAGCTGCATTCAGGGCACATGGGTGCTCTGTGTATCTTTCTGTATCCATGTACCGTTGTAGCGAGGCCCCTTGGCATGCTGTAGTTGTTCCCTGTCGCTGTCGGTTAGCCAAGGCCACAGGTCACAGCAGTACGGCGGTGCCTCCACATGTACGGAGACCCCTGTCCTCCTCGCCGCCATCTCCTTCAGATCTGCCGCTCTCTCATCCAGTGCTGACCCAGCTGCAGCTCTCCCAGCCAGGCGTGTGCGGTTGCAGCCCATCACCCTCGCTCGGATAGCCTCAACCAGCTGCCGGCCACACCATGAGCGCTGGCAACATCTTCGTGACTGGAGGAGTGGGGTTTATCGGTGCGTGGGACCCACCGTGAGCGGGCGGGACGCACGATCGGTTGGCCGCGAGCGCCTGGAGACCTGCTGTCGGCCCCTTCATTGCGGCAGTGGCTGGCCTGTTGCGCCTGCAGGCAGCCACACGGTGCTGGTGCTGCTGGAGCACGACTTCCGTGTGGTCATTTTGGACAACCTGGACAACAGCTTTCAAAAGGCCTACGACCGCATGGTGGAGCTGGCTGGCGACAAGGCGGGCAATATGAAGTTCATCCAGGTGGGCAGCGCGCTGTCGGGGGGCCGTGTGGGGTTCACTGGGGGCGGTTGTGGCTCCGGGGCGGGCGGGCCGTTCTGAGCAGTGCACTGCCTACTGCATCGCATTGGGCTGCCTGTGCTGTCCGGCACATCTTGTGCCAGCCACTGAGGCGGTGGGGTGGGTCTTGGTGCTGTGCAGGGCGACCTGCGGCACATGGAGGACCTGGAGAAAGTGTTTGAGGCGGACAAGTGAGCTCGGCTGAGCTGCCGCTCGTCGGTCCAACAATCGCATGCTCATTGTGCTCATTGGCAGCAGCAGCAGCAGCGGTTGAGGCGTGGTGCAGCGACCTGGTACCAGCGGCCAGCCCCTGTGGCGCTGCTGTGCCTGGCTTGGCCCAGTGTCCACCCCTCCATTCCCGCACGCCACCCGCCTTGGCCGCAGGTTTGAGTGCGTGATCCACTTTGCGGGGCGCAAGTACGTGAACGAGAGCGTGGAGAACCCGCTGCGCTACTACGACCACAACGTGCTGGGCACGATCAACCTGTGCAAGGCCATGAACAAGTATGGCTGCAAGAACATCGTCTTCTCCTCCTCCTGCACCGTGTACGGCAACCCGCAGGTGGGCACCGCCGGCGCTGCTGGCTCCTGCCCAGGGCTGCGCCGCACGGGCTAGCCCCTGGAAAGGGGTGCAGAGGGCAGCAGCAGCGCCGGGCTGAGTGGTCCTTGCCCTCCTCGGGTGCATTGATGCGCCTCTCGCTCGTGCCTGCCTGCCTCCTCTGCCCGCCTGCCTGCCCACCGCAGTACGTGCCCATCGACGAGGCGCACCCGCTCAAGGCTGTGAGCCCCTACGGCAACACCAAGCTGATCATCGAGGACATCCTGCGGGATGTGTCGGCCTCTGACCCCGAGTGGCGCATCATCCTGCTGCGCTACTTCAACCCCGTGGGCGCGCACCCCTCGGGTGGGCGGGCTGGTTGGGTGTGTGGGGGGTAGGGGAGGGTAGCAGCACTTGAAGCAAGGTGGAAGGCCAAGAGGCCAGCTGGCTGCAGAGGGCTGCGCGGGAGCTGGCCTGTGCTTCATGCTGGCTGCGACGGGGCGTTGGTGGCCGCTCCCCGGCTCGGACTTGCATGCACTCTCACACCCAAGCCGTGTGGCCCCTGGCCCCTGCCCCCTGCTCCCTCCCCCCCTGCAGGCAAGATTGGGGAGCACCAGGTGATGCTGAACAACCTGATGCCCTGGGTGCAGAACGTGGCGCTGGGCCACCGCCCCGTGCTGAATGTGTATGGCACCGACTACGACACGCGGGATGGCACCTGTGTGCGCGACTACATCCACGTGCAGGACCTGGGTGGGTGGGGGCCTGGAGGCTGGGGCCCTGGAAGCTGGGGGGCTGGAGCGGGGAGGGTGGAGGGGGAGGATGAAGTGCTGTTGCTGCCATGCGTGTGTTTCCATGTGTGTTGGGTTGTGGACGCCCAGCCGGACAAGCGGCCCAGCAACAGGCGAGAGCGCGTGCCTGAAGCTGTGTGCGCGCTGTGGGCTGGCTGGCCGGGCGTGCAGGCGAGGGCCACGTGGCGGCTGTGAAGAAGGTGCTGGGCACACCCGACATCCGCTGCGTGCCGTACAACCTTGGCACCGGCACCGGCACCACGGTGCTGGAGATGGTGCACGCGTTTGAGGAGGCCAGCGGCCTCAAGGTGCCGGTCAACCTCACGGGGCGGCGGCCGGGCGACGCCAAGGCGGTGTGGGCGGCCACCGAGACGGCGGAGCGGGAGCTGGGGTGGCGGGTCAAGCTGACGGTGAAGGATATGTGCCGCGACCAGTGGGCCTGGGCCTCGCAGAACCCGGCGGGCTACCTGACGGGGGCCAGCGAGGAGGAGCTCAAGATTGCCAAGGAGAAGGGACTGCTCTAGGGCGGGGAGGCGGCCGGCTGGCGGCCACACGCTGAACGTCCCACGCCGGCGCCTGCTTTCTTGCATGCGCTTCTCTCTCCCCTGCCTCATTCTTTCTTCCTCAGCACTGTGACCTCTCCTCCCCGTGCATGCAACCCCATTGGGCGCCTGCTTTTTGCAACACGACACATGAAATCCAATCACGAATAGGGAGCAGCAAAGGAATGGGCAAGCGGGAAACATCGGGTCGCTATGCAGGTGCCTCGCTGGGGCCCGCGCCGCCAGGGTTGCCGCAGCCCAGGCTCTCGGGCGTCAGCTCATCGGCAGGAATGGGGTTTTCCATCCAGGCCAGCAGCTGCCGCATGGTCACAAAGTAAGTGTGTGGCTTGGTGAGGGCATAATCTGCAGGCAGGGGATAGGGGCAGGTCAGGGCAGGAACCACCCTGCTTGTGCTCTCCTCCTCCTCTTCAGCCAAGTGCCTGCAGCCCACTGTCCACTGCTTCCCACCTGCGAACTTCTGCAGCTGCTCCAGGTTGGGCCCGTGCTCCTCCGACTCTGCCCGCAGCCAAAAGGGGTGCACATACACGTTGAGGGGCGCCCTGTTGCCGGCGTAGGCGGCGTCAAAGTTGGCCTTGAGGATGTCGAATGCAGAGTGCTCGCTCGCCCTGCAGCACGCCACAGCATTCAGATTCAGGACCCCCAGTGCCAGCAGCTGTCATCGACTGGCGATTGGAGTCGGAGTGGCACACGCCACAGCGCCGATCTCGAAGAGTTTGAGGAAGTCCCCTCCCGAGGGCACTCACTGCGACATGCTGGGGTAGCTGAAGCCGGGGTCCATGGGGTAGGGCCCACCCAGCTCGCTCAGCTTCCACACTGCACCCGTGGCAGCCAGCAATGGCCAGGCATACAGACCTTCAGCACACCCAGGTATGCGTGGAGCAGCAGGCAACCCAGATGCATGAGCTGCCGCACGGTCCCCACCCAGCAAGCGCTGCAAACTTGCAGCATGGCCCTGCGCCGGCGGGCTGGGCCCCTGACCTGGCACCTCCCAGAGGCCCGGCCAGCTCTCCGCCGTGCTGCAGAGCTGGGTGTAGGTGTCGTCAGAGGCGCAGGCGATGGGGACCCCGGCGCCCATGTCAAAGGGCCACAGCCTGCTGGAGAAGCCGTCTGACACGGAGCCGTTCATGCTCTCCATGATGGAGCTGCACAGGGACAGCGTCGATGGCAGCAGGGGAGGCCGATGGCGGCGACCGGTCACGCATGCAAAGGGGAGCAGCTGGCACCACCCGCACGTGGCAAGCCGGGGCTGCTGCAGGCTGTCTGCCGCCGGCGCGCACCTGTCGTACAGGAACCCATTCTCGTGGAGCACCTCCCTGAGCTGTGGGTCCACAAAGAGATACGGCGCCCTGAACCCCACAATGTCCTGCTCAGGCACGCCGCACTCCGCCAGCTGCCTGCGCGCCCCCACCACCTCGCTCTCCACGTAGCTGCGGTCCTGCCCCACCAGCTGCGCAGGGCATGGGCAGTCGCGGGGCCCATCCAGTCTGGTGGCGCAGGGCTCGCCACCAGCAATGCCTGAGCGTCTCCTGGATTTGCAGGCACTCAGCTGGCCTGAGCCACATCACAGCAACCGCCGCCCTCCTCACCCGCTTGTGATCCAGAGTGTGGTCAGCGATTTCGTAGCCGGCCCGCCACAGGTCCCTCACCGCCTTGCAGTCAGTGTTGCGCAGCATCGTAAACATGGTGGCCGCCAGCGGGCAGCCGTCGGCGGTCTGGCGGCCCTCTGTCACCGCCGTAATCAAGTCTTTGGCAGGGCAATACACAGCATCGTCCACCTTCGTTGCAGGAAGTGAGAGGTCATGTTACGGGATGCAGCGCTCTGATGCAGCAGCCTGCGGACGCACGGCAACCAAAAAGGGCTCACCGTCAGCAGAACGAATTGCGGCGTCTGTGCGGCTGACAGGCCGCCTGGGGCGGCGGTGAGATTGGCGTCTGTGGCACCATCAATGCTGCCTGTGGAGCAGGCCAGCAGCGCCACTAGCAGGAGGCCGGCCACCAGAGCGGCCATCTGGAGGCCCTCGCCGCTGGCCGCCGCCCGCCGCCACCACGCCTCGCCGCCACCGCCGTGCACTGTGCTCGCCTGCAGGCAGCACGCATCCCCAATGCGTGGGTGAATGCCGCAGAGGGCCGCAGCAGCCTGGCACGATAGTGGACAGCACCGCCAACCTAAAACAAGTGTGATACCTCTTGCCTAGCGTTGGATCCAGTGATGGACGTGTTTTCGAGCTATTTTGGCGCCTTGGATTACGTCGCAATGGCCCAAATGGCTTGTAGTAGGCGGAGGCAGTTAGCGCCCATGTGCAGTACAAGCTTGTACTGTGGTGGCTCCCTTTTTCTTCACAGCAGTGGCCGATTGACGGCAGGTTAGCCTCCCGGTCGGTTGCCCTGTCCACCCAAGATGGCGAAGACAAAAAAGGGGAAGGGGCGGCTGGACCGCTGGTATCACCTCGCCAAGGCCCAGGGCAAGTCCAATTTTGCCCACCGCGCCATGCAAGCACTGTTGGTAGCCGTTACGCAGCTTCGGTGCACCCTGCCACCATGCATGCGCCGCCACATGCCTCCCTCGTGCAGGCTACCGCTCCCGTGCGTCCTTCAAGCTCATCCAGCTCAACCGCACATATTACTTCCTGTCTGGAGCCCGCTCATTGCTAGACCTGTGCGCGGCGCCAGGTGCGCCGCCGCCGCCGCCGCCAAGGGCAGCACTGCGCTGCTTGCAGCAGCCGGAACCACCCCCTGCCGGCTGGGCTTGAAATTGGAGGCTGGAAGGCAGCTGCGGATGGGCTGCCGGCTCGCTGGCTTGTGACTTTCGTGCTGCCACCGCCGCCGCCGCCGCCATCGTGTGTGTGTGTGTGTGTGCAGGAGGTTGGTGCCAAGTGGCGGTGAAGAACATGCCCGTGGGCAGCCTGGTGATTGGCGTGGACCTGGTGGCCATCAAGCCCATCAGGGGGGTCAAGACGCTGGTGGGGGACATCACCACGCAGAAGTGCCGGCAGGCCATCAAGAAGGAGACGGGCGGCAGCCTGATCGACGTCGTGCTGCACGACGGTGCGCCCGGCCCTCCGTTGCATTGCTGTTGGTGTTTGGAGGGGATGGTGGGCAGGCCTGGGGGATGTGGTCACCCGGGGCCGCTGACACCGCCCGGCGCGCGCCGCCCCTGCGCGCAGGTGCGCCCAACGTGGGCGGCGCCTGGGCCACCGAGGCCTACTCCCAGGCCTGGCTGGTGCTGGAGGCGCTGCGCATGGCCACAGACGTGCTGGCGCCCAAGGGCACCTTCGTCACCAAGGTCTTCAGGTGGGGCGCTGCCTGCTGCTGCTGCTGCTGCTGCTGGCGGCGGCGGCGCTGTGCTTGCATCGCTGGCATGTGGTGGCCTCAATTCCCCTCCTCCCTGCTCTTTTCATACAACACACACCACACAGACTCACAGACACACGCACGCACGCACGCACACACGCACTCAACACTCCATCTGCGCGCCCGCCTGCCCCCCCACCCCACCCCACCCCCACCCCGCAGGTCCAAAGACTACTCCCCCCTGCTCTACGCCTTCCAGCAGCTGTTCACCAAGGTGGAGGCCACCAAGCCCGTGGCCTCCCGCTCCACCTCTGCCGAGATCTTTGTGGTGTGCCGCGGCTACAAGGCGCCCGCCAAGATCGACCCGCGCCTGCTCGACCCCAAGCACCTCTTCCAGGTGGGCGCAGGGGGCAGGCCCGGAGATGGAAGGGGTCCCAGCCGCTGCCGCCTGTGACAGCGGCTGGCATCCGGGGCCACCCCACAATGGGAGCGCTTGGCGGTGCGCCATCCAGCCGCCGCGCTTGGCTGGTGCGTGCGGCGCATTGGTCCCTGCCTGCACCTCAACGTGGCCGGGCGCTGCTTGTGTGTGGGTGTGCAGGAGGTCCAGGAGGCGCCCAAGATAGCTGGCCCCGATGCGCTGATCAAGCAGAAGATCAAGCAGACGCGGTTCAGGTGGGGCAGGGCCCGGCAGGGCCAATCAACTGCATGCACACGCATGCACACATGCAGGCAGGCAGGCACCTGCCGTCGATGGTACCCTGCAGCCCACTTGTGTTGCTCACCTGCCTGCCTGCCTGCCTGCCTGCCTGCCTGGGGCTGCAGGGAGGGGTATGCTGAGGGCCTGTCCACCACGCACAAGGCGCTGACCGCGGGCGCCTTCATCGCGGGGGACAACCCCATCGAGCTGCTGGGCCAGTACACGACCATCTCTGTGGAGGGCCCCAGCTCAGAGGGTAGGCAAGGGGAGGTTCCGCGCTGGGAGGCTGCCTCCTGAGGCGCTGCGCCGCCTGCACGCCCTGCTGCTGCTGCTCTGCTGCTGCTTGTCGCTGCGGGGTTGCCGGTGCGGTGGAGGCCCTGCACATGGCTGCCGCGGCCGCGGGAGGATGCCCAACAACAAATCAAACTCAACAGGCTTGACCGGCTGCCCCTCTGGGGCACGCTGGGCTGTAGAGATTTCCTTCTTCACCTTGACCGCCTGCCTGCCAGCTGCACACCGCTTTGCTGCACGGTGGATGCATGCCTGCCCGTTGAAAGCGCGCTTTTGGGATGGTGGCAGAGTGATGCCCATAAACAAATCAAACTCAACAGGCTTGACAGGCAGCGGGAGACCGCTGTCCTGGCTGTAGAGACTTCCTTCTTCATCCTGACTGCCACAGCCCCACCCAGCGCCCTACACTGTCTCGCACCTTTGCCTCTCTGCCGCCTCTGGCCGGCTCGGCCTGACCTTGGCGTGGCCCTCCCCTCGCCCTTGGCCTGTACCCCCGCCTGCAGGCCAGGTGGAGGGCGTGGAGGACGCAGCAGAGCTGGCCGCGTTTGTGCGCAGCCATTCTGCCACCGATGCGGAGGTTAGGACGCTGTGCAAAGACCTTCAAGTGCTGGGCCGCAGCGAGTTCAAGCAGCTGCTGCGCTGGCGGCTGCTGGTGAAAAAGGACCTGCAGCGCCAGCAGGCGGCGGCCGCCAAGGCGGCGGCGGCGGCGGCGGCGGGCGAGCGCGGCGGCGAGGAGGGCGGCAGCGGCGGGGAGGAGGAGGAGGAGGACCCAGAGGAGAAGCTGCTGCGGGAGATGGGGGAGGTCAAGGACAGGTGGGGACGGGCTGCTGCCCTTTCCGCTGCCGCTGCTGCTCCGTGTTGATGCGCTCTTCCTTCCGGCTCCCTGCTGCCGCCGCCGCGACCGCCAGGCCTGGCTGACGCTGCGCGGCCACCGGCTGCCGCAGGATGGACAAGCGGCGCAAGAAGGAGCGGCGCAAGCGGCGGGACCAGCGCACCAAGTCGCGGGTGCGCGCCGCGCAGCTGTCGCAGGCCGAGGGCATTGGCGAGGAGACTGGGCCCGAGTCGCTCTTCAGCCTGGCCAAGATCAAGGGCAGGGCGGGCGGCGCGCTGGGGGATGCCTCGGCGCCCGACTTTGGCACGCCGCCCGGCAGCAGCAGCGAGGAGGAGGCGGGCGGAGGCAGCAGCCAGGACATGGATAGCGAGGAGGAGCAGCGCAGGTGGGGCGCGGCCCTGGAGGCAGCAACGGGGCTGGCATGCCCGCAAGCGCCCGGCGCTGGGTGCCCGTGGGGCAGGCGGCGGCGGGCTGCCGCATGCTGTTGCCCACACCAGGCCTCTCCACCCCTCCCCGACTGCGCCGTACCGCTCATGTACCGCTGCCGTACCGCTGCAGGTACGACACCATGATGGACGGATACCTGGAAGACTCCTACCAGGCCTGGAAGCAGCGGCAGCGCATGAAGGGGGACACCGCCAAGAAGAAGCGGCGGCGGATGGGAGACGCTGGCGAGCTCAGGTGGGGCGCTGCCGGGTTGGGGCAGGCCGGGAGCCGGCGGCAGCCGCGGAGGCGGCAGCTGGGGCATGCGGGCAGCTGTGCTGCTGCCCCCAGGCCAGCACCTGCCTGCGGTCCTGAGCGCTCACTGCTCCTTCACCACCCACCACACCACCCACCCACCCACCCACCCACCCACACCGCCTGCCTGCAGTGAGGAGGATGAGGGCGAGGAGGGTGTGGGGCCTGAGGTGCCCTCCAGCGAGTCTGAGTCTGAGCTGGAAGCGGAGGAGGAGGAGGAGGGCGAGGAGGTGAGGGGCAGCTGCCGGCCTGGGTCTGCACACCAGGGGGCTCACCCGGTCCTGTGCTGGTCTACAGGACAGCCTGGATAGCGGCGGGCATGCTGCCGGTCGCCCCAGGCGGCCGCTGGCCGCTGGCCCAACAGCCGGCCCTGCGGTCGCTGCCCCCGCCTGCCGCAGGGCGCCGGCCTGATTGTGACGTTTGACGAGCGGCGCGCGGGGGTGCCCACGTCTGCCGAGGCGGCTGTGGCCCAGTGGTTCTGCCAGGACATCTTTGATGATGAAAACATAGAGGACCCCGAGGAGGATGTGGATGCAGTGATGGCGGTGCGGCAGCAGCAGCAGCAGCAGCAGCAGCAGCAGGGCGCCAAGCGGCCGCGCACCGAGGCCGAGCGCGGCGGCGGCGGCGACCCGCAGCCTCCCGCGGCCGCGGCGCAGCAGCTGGAGGAAGCGGGCGTGGAAGGCAAGGACGAAGACGAGGAGGAGGAGGAGGAGCAGGGCGCCAGCTCTGGCAGCGACGCCGAGGGCGAGCCCGGCACGGTGGCGGCCAAGAAGCGGCAGCGCGGCGCCACGGGTGGCGGCGCCAACGGCCACCTGGGCCTGTCGGCGGATGCGCTGGCGGGGCCGGAGGACGGCTTTGAGGTGGTGCCGGCGGCAGGCAGCGGGTCGGAGGGCAGCGAGAGCGAGGATGAGTATGAGCTGATGGACGACCACGCCAAGGTGGGCAGAGGGTGGGCTGGGAGCCAGGCGGCGCGTCGCTGCATCGTTCGGCCACCGTGCCTGCGGGCGTGGGAGGCTGCACTGTGTGGCGCTCTGGGGAATCCCGCCGGCCCCGGATGAGGCCGACCCTTCTGCCTGCCCGTCGCCGCTCAGCCTGGCTGCCGCGGGCGCCTGTATTCACCCTGCCTGCCTGCCTGCCGCCTGCCTTGCCCTGCAGGCGGAGGTGCGTGCTCTGGCCAAGAAGATGCTGCGGCGGCGCGTCAAGGACGACATCATAGAGGCCGCCTACAACAAGCACGCATTGTGAGTGCGCGGTTGGTGGCAGCGGCCTGTGTGTGGGGGGGGAATGCATGTGTGCATGTGAGGGACGCCTGCCTGCCATGCCTGCATTTGATGCATCCAGATGCTCGCCCGCTGCGCCTGCACCATTGCCGAGCTGCCTTGCATCGCGGCTCTGGGCGCCGGTGATGTCAGAAACTAACAAGCATATGGTTGAGCCGGGCCGCATGGCCGGGCATGAAAAATCACTTAGGACGGTATCTGAGGCGCCCAACAAGCTGCTGCTGCTGCCGCCTGTGCCTGCATCATTGCTCCGCTGCCGCTGCTGCACTGAACACGATATGCCGATGATGTCAGAAACTAACAAGCATATGGTTGAGCCGGCTCAAGTAGCCGGCATGAAAAATCACTTAGGACGGTATCTGAGGCATCCACTGAGTTGCTGCTGCCGCTGCCGCTGTTATCACTGAGGGCGGCATGCACTGCTGCCGCTGCTGCCCTGGGATGCACTGCAACACAAGCGTGCCGGTGATGTCAGAAACTAACAAGCATATGGTTGAGCCGGGCCGCATGGCCAGGCATGAAAAATCACTTAGGACGGTATCTGAGGCACATTCGCAAGCTGCATGCATCCCGCTCCCAGACACCATCCCTGCTCCTCGTCTCGCCGCGCCTCTCAACGACCTGCTTTCTAAGCTCCGCCCTGCTTCCCCTGCAGCCACGACGTGGGCCTGCCCAAGTGGTTTGATGAGGATGAGCGCAAGTTCATGCGTCCCCAGGCGCAGGTGCGACGGCGTGCACGGCGCCGCATCGCGCGAGGGCGCTCGCCGCATCTGGCCGCTGCCAGGCGTGGCCTGCCTGCCCTGCCCCCACCAGCTCCTCCAATCAGCCACCCACCCACCTAATACCCTTCCACTTTACCTGCCCCTACCACAGATCACTGCCGAGGAGTACCGGGCGGCGCGCGAGGAGCTGCGCTCCATTGACGCCCGCCCCATCAAGAAGGTGGCAGAGGCCAAGGCGCGGAAGCGCAAGCGCCTGCAGATGCGGCTCACGCAGGTGCGCGCGGCGCCGGGCGGGAGCCCGAGGGCTGGGCCAGCGTGGAGGAGCACGCTGCTGCCGCGGCTGCTGGAGTATGCCCTGTGCCCTGTGCCTGGGGATGGTCGGCGCTGGGTGCTGTCTGGGCAGCGGCCAACTGCCCGCCTGCCCCCGCTGGCCTGCCTGGGCTGTGCCGCTCCTGCTGCAGGCCCGCCAGAAGGCCGAGAGCGTGGCCAACCAGGAGGACGTGCCGCTGAAGCAGAAGATGGCGGAGATTGAGAAGCTGTACTCGCGCGCGCGGTCGGGCAAGGGCAAGAAGGGGGCCAAGAAGGGCGGGCGCAACGAGCAGTACAAGAACAAGGGGCCGCGCCTGGATGCGCGCATGCGGGCGGACAAGCGCGGCCAGGACAAGGTGGCCAAGCGGCTCAAGGGCAAGGGCAGGAAGGCGCCGCCGCCGCCCGTGAAGAAGAAGGTGCCGGCTGGGAAGAACCGGCGGCGCTGAGCGGGGCCCCGGCCCTAGCCCCGCCCCGCACAGCAGCGTTCGACTGCCGGCTTGCTTTGCGCTATTGCATCTCATTTTCTGCTGCTTCCCTTGCTGCTCTGCTTTTGTATTGCCAGCACTCGCTACACGATTGAGTTCACACATGGAAGAAACAAACAAGAGCGGAAGCAGATGTTTTAGAAAGCGAGGCGCTACTGCAGAGTCGGACGCAGGCGTTCAGGACAAGGTGCAAACACGCCAGCACACTGCGGCGCTACTCCTCGGCGGCCGGCAGGCTGCGCTGCAGCAGCCAGCCGCGGCGGTCGAGCATGGTCAGCGCCACCTTCCTGCCCGCAGCATCCATGCTGTCCTCTGGGCAGTGCATCCAGTAGGCATGGGCCTCGAATTGGCACTCCAGGCACGCCAGGCTGGGCAGGGAATCAAACGCCCGCATCAGCCTTGCGCGGTAGTCCTTCCTGCTGGTGTTGAGCAGCGTGAGGGAGGTGAGGCCCGCCAGGCAGCCGCCCTGCCCCAGGTCCAGCGTGTTGAGCACCTGCAGGCATGCAGCGGGGCGGCACACTCTACATGACGTTAGGCAGGCATGCAGGCAGGCATGGGCGCATCCCGAATCCACCCTCAAATCCGCCCTCAGATCCGCACCGTGTTGATCTCCATGCACTCCCCACAGAAGTCCACCTCCAGCCGCTTGAGCGAGGAGAGGCCGTGCAGGTGGGCGCCTATGGACACGGTGTCCTGCGGCAGGCAGGGAGGGCGGGCAGGCAAGAGGCAGGCAGGCCAGGCAGGCAGGCAGCGACGTCAGCCTTGCAGCAGCCCTGGACAGACCTGTCGAGATGCCTGCTGTCGCTCCCCACGGTGGCCTTTTGCAAGCAACCTGAGTTGGCTGGCTCCTTATACAGCCACGGAGCAAAGGCAGGCAGACCAGCATTGATGGGGCAGCATCGGCTCGGGACCACGGCGCCGCCAGAAGTACGGCTCGCTCACCTGCCAGTCGGTGTATGCCTGCATCATCTGATCCACGTCCTCCTCGTGCACCTGGCCGCAGTTGTCGCAGCTGCACAGGTGTGAAGGTGGCAGCAGCCTGGGCAAGATGCAACACATTTGTGGATGCAATGGTAGGCAGCACCCACACGGCCCTCCGGCCGTGCCCCCTCACATTAAATCCAGCGCCGCATCAGGCGGCAGCTCTTCGTAGTCAGGCATGTGATCGGGCAGCTTCAGGCTGATGCTGGTCAGCTGTGTGGCCAGCTGAAGCCCCGCGTCGCCCTGCACGCTGCTGGCCGTGAAAGCTCGCAGCGCTGGCAGGGCGGCCAGCGCCGAGAAGCACCCATCTGCGTTGAGGCGGCCCTCCGGCTCGCTGTTGCAGCTTTCCAGGGCCAGGCTGGTGAGGTGCGACAGCGCGGTGAGGTGGCCCAGCGTGCGGCCGGTGATGAGGCAGTCGTGTAGCACCAGATCGCACAGGCGCGGCAGCCGAGCGCTGAAGCTGCGCAGGTTGAGGGTCAGCGGCACCTTTCCGAAGGCCACCAGGCGCACGCTCCGCAGCGAGGGTGCCTTGACCAGCGTGTTCAGCGCTTGGCACAGCTCGTGCTGACTATTGACCGGCACCCGCGCCGCCGCTCGGTGGCGCCGCAGCCAAGCTGCGGTGTCTCGGCATGCGAGAGCCAGCTGCTTCTGGTCGCAGTTGGGCAGCAGCGCGAGCAAACTGTCCGCCAGATCATCTGGCAGGAGCAGGATCCCAGGCGGCCGCGCAGGAGCTGGCCGACGAGCACCTGCGGAGCTCCTGGTGCGCATGGCGGCTGGTGGCGAGGGACGAGAGGGGAGAGTGGAGAGCGACGAGAGAGGTGGCCAGAAGGCAGAGAAGCTTGCACACAAGGGACCAGCAGCAAAAGAAAGGCGCCAAAAGAAAGGCGCGCCTTGGACAAGGCGTTGTTCGCGCTCCTTGCCGCCCTCACAGTCCTCGTCACCAGCGTGGATGATGTGTGTGGGGTGGCGATGCCTTTGGCTGCCCACCAACCCATCCACACCGCCGGCGCTCCGTCGCGTCCCATCCAGCACCCACCATTTTCTGTTTTACTCTTCTTTTCCAGCACCCACCATTTTCTGTTTTACTCTTCTTTTTTTTAACTCTGGCGGCAATAACCGAGGGCCGCGGAATCTTCTCAGCAAGCAACACAGAACACATGCAAGCAAACAATGTGCTACGCTGGGTAACAACGACCGGCTCGCAGGGCGGTCCGCTTGTACCAGTGTGTCGCTGAACATCAGCGGCGCGCCGCCTCCGAACTGCTGCTTTCCACTCTCCTCGGGGATCGCTGGTAGGCAGGGTCGGCCAGCGCTCGTGCCGATGTCGACACGGAGCGCTCAACTCAGAGGCCCGCCGTCTTGCGGCGCAGCAGCACGTAGACGAGCACGCGGAAGGCGATGAAGAAGCCGAGCAGGATGAAGGCGTTGCGGATGGCTTCGCCCTGGTTGCTGGGGTCCTGCGCCAGCGCCAGCGCCTCCTGAATGCTGCAGAGCAGGCGGGCGACAGGGCGCAAACAGCCGCGGTGAGGGCAAGATGGCGTGGTGGTGCAGGGAGACGAAGAGGCACCTCTGCATGCCGGGGCAGATGCCAGCACCTCCCGAGCCGCTCCAGCAGCCTGTGCATGCACTCCCAGCTGCCTCCCGCTCACTTGTCCACCGGCTGGCAGGCGGGGCTGGTCTCGGGGTCGGCGGGGTTGGTCTGGGCGCAGGCGTCGGCGGAGGCGGGGTCGGTGCAGCTGTACAGCTGGCGGCCGCCGCCGGAGAACTGGATGTAGAGCATGATGCCCAGGGAGTAGTAGATGAAGGACAGGTACTTGACCCACTCCAGCCTGCAGGCACGAGAGAGCCGCATAAGGGAGGACGAGCGCGGCGGGGACAGCGCCGTGCAACGGGGAAGTCGCCGGCTGCGCGGGCGCGCGCCCGGCTGCGCATGCGTGCAGAGGCGCACCAGGAGGGCAGCTCGGTGATGAAGAAGCCTCCCGTCAGCACCATGGCCATCATCACCACGGAGGCCAGGGTCTGCGCGGTCTTGGGCACCATGGTGACGACGCCCAGCAGCAGGCCCAGGCCCTGCACGCCAGCGTGGTGGGCCTGAGCGGCGAGGGCGAGCGAGGGTGGGGAGCCGCGCCGCGCCGACAGCGTCCCAGGCAGGGCAGGGACTGGCAGCCCGCCCCGTCCCCTGCAGCCCGCCCCGTCCCCTGCCCCGCTGCCAAGCCCGCCCTCCACACCTGGGCCACCAGCATGGTCAGCAGCGTGACGCCATACATGCCGAAGAAGGCGGCGGCGTTGTAGCGCAGGCCGCCCATGAAGTAGACGATGAGGAAGAAGGCGGTGGGCAGCGTGAAGTCCATGGGCAGGTCGCTGAGGGTGCGGGCGGCGTAGAAGGCAGACAGCCTGCAGCCCAGGGAGCTCCCAAGCAGGTCAGGTTGGGCGTGGAGGGCATGGATCAGCTGGAGGGGTGCTTGGGGTATAAGCACGCTTGTGCAGCTCGAAGCGCGGGCCCACCCCCAGCACGCCGCACCTGTACATCCCGCTGGCCCGCTCCTTGAGCATGTGCTTGTACTCCTCCTGCGCGCCAGGCCAGGCCCGCAGCAGCTTTGCAGCGAGCATATACAGCAGAGCACCGACAGAGCAGGCATGGCAGGCGGGCTTATCGGCAGGCCGGCGGCCCCCACAGGGAAAGCGTCCGGGTGTGCTCACCGGCCAGGTGTACAGGGCCAGGAAGAGGGAGCGGAAGGAGGCAAACATGGAGATGAAGAACAGCAGGCCCAGCGTGTTGCGCGCCCTGCAGGCGCAGCAGGGGGAGCAGCGAGTCGGGGTTGGGCGACTGCCAGAGGCGCCAGTCGTACATATGTCACAGTCTTCTTCTGCAAGTGGGAGCCGCCAGGGCCGAGCTGGGCAGAGGCACACACAGCAGGGCACAGAAACAGCACTGCGGCAGGGTCGGGGCAGCGCACCCCAGCACCGTGTCATCCTTGCCCGCCTGCAGCCAGAACAGGCCCGCCAGCAGCGAGATGGCGGCAAACTGGTAGATGTCCTGGGTCTTCATGCTCTGCAGGCGGCAGCGGCAGCAGCAGCAGGGTGGGCACGGTTGAGAAAAGAGTAGTGCAGCGAGCTGGGGTGGAGCACTGGGTGACAGCAGGGCATGCGACTCGGGGCCAGCTTCACGGGATGCGCCCCTGGCAGGCCTGGAGCAGCGCCCCACCTCGAAGCGCCGGGTGCGCAGGCTGCGCCTGAACAGCAGGGCCACCTGCGTGAGGTAGGGCGCGCCCCAGCGGTGCTCCTGCTGCAGCGTGCTGCTGGTGCCCGCCAGGCCGCGGCCTCTGCCGTCCACCTTCTCCACTGCAGGCAAAGCAGGAGGGGCCAAGGGAAAAGAAAGCCTGGCCGGGGACAATTAGCAGCTGAGAAGGCAGGGCCAGCAGGGCTGGGTGCAGTGCACACGTGCACAACTCCGCCTGCAGCGGCCACGCACCCGTGACGCCATCCATGCCACCCACCACCGCCGCCGGCGTGCCTGCCGCGCCGTCGCTGCCGCTGCGGCTGCTCGGGGTGCTGGGGCCGCTGATGTTGCTGGCCTCCAGCGGCAGCTGCACAAGCGCCGGGGCGCTGGGCGACTGCTGGTGCCTGCTCCTGCCAAGGTCGAAGCCGTCTTGGGGGTGGCGCTTCAGGTAAGCCTCCGCCCGCGCAATCAGGTACACGCGGCTCTGCTCGCCGTCCCTGCAGGCAGGCAGGCAGGCAGGCAGGCAGGCAGGCAGGCAGGCAGGCAGGCAGGCAGGCAGGTGTGTGTGTGTGTGGGGGGGGGGGAGGTGCCACGGAATGCGTGGTGGGTATGGATGAGTGGGGCAAATGGAGATGGTCGCCAGTGAGGTGTGCGAGCGCGGTACCGCCCACCTGTCGGGTACCGCCACGTCAGCAGAGGCCAGGTCCAGGATGAAGTCGGCCAGGGAGGAGCCGTAGGGCAGCGTGTACCCAAGGCGGCTGAACCACTCGCCCGCCTGCTGCGCCTGGCCGTAGAACATCACGTGGCCCTGCAGGGGGGGCGAGCAGGCGGGCGGGTGTGGTAATGACGAGGTGAGCGGGCAGCAGCCTGCCTCAGGCTGCCTGACGCGGGTGGCTGACCCAGGCTCCCCCAGCCCTCAGCATCGCACAGCCAGGATGGCGGGCGCCGCCGTCAGCAGGCTGGTGCACCTGGCTGAGCAGCAGCAGCTTGTCCAGCTGCTGGTAGAGGCGGGAGGAGGGCTGGTGGATGGTGGCGATGATGGAGCGCCCGCCTGTCGCCAAGTGGCGCAGCATGGTGAGCACGTGCATGGAGGTGGTGGAGTCTAATCCACTCGTCGGCTCATCCTTGCGAGACAGGCAGGAGGATCAAAGGCATGTTGTCAGCCGTTTCCGTTCAGGCGCTGACGGGATGGCATGCCGCGGGGCCCTTCCTCCTCCCCTGCTCCCTCCCCTGCATGCCTCCCCTGCCCTCCC